TAAAGTTGGCAGTTCTGATGCAAGTGTTTCAATATAGCTGCTGATGATAGAAAAGTTTCAACTAGTACATACATATCAATATCCTTTTCAGAAATGGGAAAATAATTTATCCTTTTGAAAATAGTCAACGATGACACCAACAGACACTTCAATATTGTGTTCATCATTTTCCACATCAATGCTTCATCTGATATAATATACAAATACACAAATAGCCAGATGATTAGGTACTGCATCCAAAAACCAACATTGTGAAAGACTCATTAAACCGAGCTTACCTACAGCAAGAACATTTCAGTAACATATTTACTTATCGACTTTGTGCTAGACGTTTCAGGAAAGAACTGTTCATATTGCAGAAATACCAAAAATGTGGCAAAACTAGATGTATCTCCGTCAAGCAATAATGGGAACTCTTACGGTTGCAAGAACTTATCTGATATGACACTCTAAATTTCAAAGGCACATTCTAGAATTCAAGGCGAAGTGAATATTCGTTAGAACAATATACAACTGAAGATTCCAATTCAAGGTAACTGAACTCATTGAACACTGAAAGCATTCAACTTGATCGTTTCAACACACTGGAATTCAAATTATTAGGGCAACAAAAGTGAAATCGTCAATTACATTGGATCTGGACATCAGCGACTGGATCATCGTCAACTTAGAGTATGACTGATGAGTGAATGTACATTAAAAGTGAATGAAAGGACAAATGACATGTGGGGACTATAGAAATATTCACGTCACTACGATAAATTTATGTTAAATGTGATCATGATCTTATAAATTCAGTTGATTACATACGTTATATTCTATTCGTTAAATGTTATCAATGTTATGTGATCGTGAATTAACATATTATGTGTAATCCATTACATGTTCTATATGTTATGTGTTAATTGTGATAGTGTAATATCTTTGGTTTGTTACATATTGAAGGTTATACATCTGATTCATCAGATTCATCTTTGATATCTATGTCTTGTTGTGAAATATTTTGTATTCATGTTGCAAATTGGATGTACAATTATTCATTTCTAAAATGTAATTTTTGGGTTGATTTTTCAGCTTGGAAATGTAATTTTTCTCTGGTGATTTTCTTTTTCGGTTTTCAAAACGTAATTTTTCCATTTTTTCCTAATCGTTAAAGTTAAACTATAACTTATGAAATTTTGCAGGTTTGCATTTCTAACATTTCTCCGTAAGTAATTGTAAGTTAAATGTGACATGTTGGTTGTTGAGAGGTCAACCACACATTTGGGTTCTGTGGATGGCACCGCAATAGTCAACTAGTTACACATAGTATTTTTTATGTAATAGGAAATTATTATATAAGGTCGAGACTAGGTAGGTAAATAATATTTTTGACAATAGGACACGACGTGGTAACATATTATTTGAAATAATTTGTTTAAAATTTTTTTTTTTTTTTTCCCGTTGGTTTTGTTAATTATGTAAATTTTTTTGTAGTAGATTTTGGCTGACAATAATTTGGTTAATTATTTTATTTTGTTTTTGTTTTTAAATAAGAAACTTATAAACCATATTTGAAACTTAAATATTGTTAGAAGAGATTGTCGCTCCAGAGGAGAGATCACTGAGTATATATATGAAGGTGATAGAAACCTTGTACATTAAGGGAAGTTTCATGTTACAGGTGACATTGTCCATGATTGTTGCAAATGTGTCGTACAGGCCACACTTGTGTTTCTATATACTACACTATATGTCTAGAGGTATGACATGTGTCAGTGGCAGGTATTGCTAGTTAATTTTAGACACATTATTTGACGGGATGTCAAGGAGTCGGGATGACTTAGTTAGAACCATAGAAGGGTCATGTCTATGACGACCATTGTTATGTTCTCAATGGCGTACAACTCGTACGAGAGTGGGGTTGGGTTCATGTGGGTCCCGGGCGGTTAATAGTCCACCCACAATATTATATAATTAGTCTTAACCTCTATGACTACAAAGTGTTAGTTAGTAGTGGCGTACTTGTGACATGTTGTGATACTATTGGTAACTTCATGGTTTAGTGTTGTCCTTGTATATGTACATGTCCCATAAGGATGTAAAGATACGTTGTTCTCAGGTGACTGACTCTCATTAGGAAACATCTCAAATCTATGTTGATAGGAACTTTCATGACTGTTTGGTGACAATAATTGGGGGAAGAAAGCAGGATATCCGGAGATGCACTGAACTGAATGTAGACACAATTCTGTCGACATCCCACACCCAGGTAGAGATACTTGACTCCAGACGTAGATATGTAAGGTAGACGTCTGTCATCAGGAAGTATCTGTCCAAAAGGAGGGGTGGATGTCAGGGTTCGCCCTGCTATGGGACAGTTCAGGATGATGATGATGAATCTCGTCATCGTACCCTGCGACCCTTAGTGACACTCAGTACGTGCATACACACGTAGAAACGAGCATGAGCGGACTTCGCACGGGTGTGCACATTTTGGACCGGACGCTGAACGCTTGCTTGGGGGACTGCTAGGAGACTGGACGTGGGACGAGAGTGGAGATTTTACTGACCGTTTGTTTTTGACTTGAAGATAGGTACCAGTGTAGTGATTAGCTGTAACGTGTTCTGTTCATAGTTTCATGTAAAGTAGTAGTTGTAACTAGAAGCCAGACCATGCTTTGCTGGTGGCGTTAACACTGTCGACGCACTTAGGCCTACACATTAGCGTATGCCATAAAGTCTTTGGCATCGAGATATAGCGGGTTGAGCTGGCACTGTACGGGAGAGTGGTAGCGGCTCAGAGCTTATTTCATGAACGTGTAAAGGCGCCTCTAAGCGATTTTAAAGTTAGACGCGGCCTGGGTTTTGAATAAGGAGCGCTACTCCTCCTGAGGTGTACCACCACTTCGTTTGCATCTTTGGTAATAAAGATTGTGTGTGTGTTGCAACAAGTGTTTGGCTTGAGTGTGTTTGTACGGTGTTTTCCTGTCATTAGCCTATAGCAGAGCCAATGGAATCGAGCCCTAGACAGTAAGGTTTCTGACACGTCTCTCTTCACAGAGTGACTAGTCTTCTATCTACAGCGAGGCACAAGTGATGTGTGTTCCCGTGTGGGTTCCAGGGTCCCATTTTAGGACAGAGAAAAAAGAACAGACCAACTCTCCCCCAAACAAGCATGTTGTAAAAGGCGACTAATTTGGGGGTTTGCTAAAACCTGATGTGTTGGACTGAAAGGCACAGATACTGCAGCCTAGCTGCAAACCACAACATTATGTGGCAACCATCCTTTTGAGGGGGAATGCAGAGAGTTGTTGTTGTTGTTATCAATCCAGCGGCGCATGAGCTTTCGCCCTTTGGCCCAATGCCATGTAGTGGAATTTGCATGTTTTCACAAGCTGTTCTTTTCCTCCGTACAAGGTGTTCCACTTGTCTGGTCTCGGAGGGAGTAGCGTTCTTCTTGTCTCACTGAGTTTTGGGCACTCAAAGAGATGGTGTTTAACAGTTTCGTAGGGGTAGTTACATAGCTGGCACTCTGGGGAGTGTTGTGGCTGTATTCTGTTTAGGTGTCCATTGAGTGGAGTATGTTGCGTTCTAAGTCTGAAGATGGTGGCCTGGTCCCTTCTTGTTAGATGGTTAATGCTGTCATTAGGATCAGGGCCAGACATATGTCTATAAACCTCTCTTCCAGTGTCTCCCATGGCCCATCTGTTCAACCAAGTCTCTTTGTTTATAGCTCTTATCAGTGTTTTTTGCTGTCTGGAGGGTTGTCGCTGTAGGTGGTTGTTCTTGTGTTGCTCCTTTCTTTGCCAATCTGTCAGCTCTGTCATTACCTGGTGTGCCGGAGTGACCAGGAATCCACTGCATCACTATTCTGATGTTGTATGAGGTAATAAGCTGATCGGCATCCAGGATTATCTTGGCTATGTCAGTTCTGCAGCGTTCATTGCCCTCCAGAGCTTGAAGGGCAGACATTGAATCTGTGAAGATGACAATATTTTGGACCTTTGAGGGGTAAACATCCATTACAGTCTTTAGGTGGTATACTGCTGTTTCCAGTGCAATTATTTCAGCTTCATAGTTTGAACAGAATTCCCCGCATGCATCAAAAATCTCTTCAACAGATCCATCGGGATAACCTATGTAGATTCCGTAACCTGCTTTAATGGTAGCTTTAAATGCTGATCCATCAGTATAGACATGTATCCATTCTTGGGGGTAAGAATCAACGGTCTTTAGTGATGAGTTCAAAATGCAGAGAGAGAGTAGAAAAAGAAGAACAAGAGTGAATTTTGTAGATACAATGTTAACTTCAAGGAAATATCGATGCATCTCTACACACAAACTGAGCCTCAGTTTTAAAACAAACTGATGACCTTTACAGTCCGAGCCAAGTGGTATAAACACCCCCCCCTCCCCACATAAAAATAAAAGACACCAATAACATGATGCTAAAATCCAATCGTTAAAGATTCAGTGGCATTCGGTTGGTAATGCTGCCCACATCAGGCCGGATGCCTTTACTTCCAATTACATTACCTGGTATTTATTTATTTATTTTAGGCGGGGTCAAACTGGGAGCCAAGGTTAACTATGAAAAAAAATGCACTTTATGTGGATCTAAACCTAATAATTTTGGGCAAGTTTCTAGCCACTACACCACCTTGGCTCCCTGTGTGGTTTCAGCGTCTCCATTTTGGAGAACAAAGAACAGACCCTCTGCACCCCCCCTCTCCCATTAACAAGCAGGTCGTAGGAGGTGACTAATCAGGAGGTGTTTCCTTCAGAGTGTATCTGCCGGGGAAGCTGCATACAAATAAGCCAGGTCTGTAAAATGGATGTGCATGAAAACTCAAGTTCTGGATCAAAACCAAAGTCTAGAAGTGGATGAACAACCAGAACTTTCTGCCAGTTTACACGCAGTGAATGCTAGGAAGAAGAAAAAGAAGACTACCCTGGCTTTTATCAACTTTACATGCCAACATTCTGAGCGAGAAAAGCCTAAATCAATAGTTTCCCACCTGGCGTAGTCCATGATAGTGTTGAGTCTGTGAGCAATGGTGAGAACAGTGCACTTCTCAAACTCTGTCCGTATTGTCGTCTGTATGAGGTCATCAGTCTCCAGGTCCACAGCAGCTGTGGCCTCATCCAAGACCAAGATCTGAGTCTTTCTCAGAAGTGCACGAGCTAAACAAACCAGCTGGCGTTGTCCAACACTGAAATATAGTGGTAGTTCTTTAGCCTACACAAATCCTTCAGTCCACACTGTCACAATATGGCATGGTATAATGATTTCCACATTTTACTAAATCATTAAAATTAACTTGACAGTATATCTATATTACAAGTGTAAAAAAAACCACAATGTAGAAATGGATGAATGAAAAACAGCATAGTAAAAAAAACCACAATGTAGAAATGGATGAATGAAAAACAGCATAGTAAAAGCAAATAAAGTAAAGTAAAGGACCCTTTTCCACACCTTTAGGCGTATAGTGCATATAGGGCTAGACCTATATTTTATAGACCAATCGGCACAAGATGGGTGATGTTGTCAGTATCACTCCGGCTGCCTTTACTTCCCGGGACTGCATCAGTACCCACTCAAGGCTGGGTCCACCTGGAAGCCATGGTAATTTTGGAGAAAAAAGTCCGGCTGTGTCAGGAAGCGAGCTCACGACCTTCTGGTCCACAGCGAGCATCGCTGGCAATCTCAGTTCAAACTTGACAGCAAACAGGTCACCCCATTGCTACTCCATTCCTGTGCCAACGAAATAAAATGCCCCCCTGCTGCAACTTGTAGAAAAATGTATACAGACTGCAGTTTTTTGGCAAAGCCAAACAGCATACACATGGATTAAATATAAAAAAAGCAGCTATCAGAAGTGCCAACACAAACAGTCCAGTACTACAACTGCAGTTCATCATCAGTGTAAGCAGCAATTATAACAAATTAGTAGTTGCACACACAGTTAATCACATAAGGCCCACCTGTTCTGTGGCAACAGGCAACTTGCTATTTTCTGATTCACAATACAAACATGTTGGGCACAGGCAAAAAAGTATTCCAAATTAAATCTGCAGCTCAGTGTTGCACCAAGCACCCAACTCAGTAGCTGGATGATGGAACTATATGCTTTCAGCCCACTTACTGGGGAACATGCAACAGCTAATCTTAGTTAAAAGCAAATTACTTGCCACAATTAAAAATATTAAGCCTGCCTATCCACCAAACTGAACTGGAAGCAGTTTTTGGCTACAGAAATGAAGAAAGCCCATGGCAGTGCTCTTTTCGAATCCATTGTTGAATCTTCAGTTAAACAGAGAAATCTACATTCTATCTTTCTTAATTTAAGAGGCACAGTTGGTCTCTAATGTGAAATACATATTCTGTTTAAATCATCATCATCATCATCATAAACCACTTCTGCCGTTAAGCGTCGTGGGGAGGAATGATTTGCAATCCAGTGCAAGTTGGCTGCCACTGACTATTGTCATGCCGTAAAGGCGTAGAGTGTCTTTAATGTTGTCGATCTATATTTTCCGCGGCGGTCTGTTTAAATCAATCTAAGCTAATACTGTCTCTAATTTTACATACATACCTTCACTCTAAGCGGAGATTGGCTGTCTAATGTCAAATAGATCAAATCAAGTTAAATACCTGAGATTTTCTCCTCCCTCAGAGCAGTAATGCTGCAAACCATCACTCAACCCAGAAACAAAAGATTTTAGATGAGCATGTTCCAGCGCAGACCATATCTCAGCATCCGTGTGCTTCCCAAAAGGGTCCATATTCATTCTGAGACTACCTGAAAAAAGGACTGGGTCCTTACAAAACGACAACAAATTAATTTCCTAGTAATAGTTTTTCACACTGTTTCAGTGCCTGAAATACAGATTTACAGTCACAAAGAGATAATACAAAGTTTAGGTCAGCTGACTTGAGACTCAGTGCTAATGACCCTTTTCACTCCAGGGTCCACTGGACGCATGATACTAGATTCTTATTTCTAAAGACCATTCAGCATTTGGTGGGTGCTGTGGCCAACATCTTGCTAGCAGCATGTACAGCCCAGGACATTATCTGGCATCCATTTTAGGCTGGTTAGCCTAGGAGTCATGGTCAATTATGAAGAGAGAAAAACCCATCTCAAAGTAGATTTCTTCTTCTTAATCTTCTTCACATTCAAATGGCTGTTAACTCAGACAGAAATTCCTGGCTATCCATCGACTCCAGGACTGATCTGCATGCAGACTGTTAGTACCTTACCTCTCAGGCTGATGCACTCTGACTCTAAAGCAAATGTCCCCAGTTAGTTGCCTCCTACAGCATGCCTGCTGGTGGTGGGAAATCTATTCTTTGTTCTTCAAAAGATGACCCAGAAACCCACAAATGGAGGTGTGGAATTGATACCAAGACCTTCAGGCATGCAGATGGGCATCTACTTATGCCATAACTGCAGTTAAACATTACAAGACTTGCACTAAAAATTATCCCCCCCCCCCCCCCCCACAACACCCTAACAAAAAAAGTAGTAAATAATGAGGTAGCAAACAACAGCTTTTTAGTGACCTGAAGTAAGTGACATGCTCACATAACATTCATTACCTGAGGGATGATTGTGAGTCTTGAGCGCAGATCATGCAGGCCAATTGTGGTGATGTCAATGCCATCAATGATGATGCTGCCTCCTGCAGGTTCAATGATTCGGAACACAGCCATTGTCAGGGATGATTTTCCAGCCCCTGTACGACCTACAATGCCTACCTATAGTTTTTTTTTCAAGAACATAAGCAAAACTGTGTGAAATTTCATTTTTGACTTCATATTTGAAAGGTTTTAGACATTTAAATTTAGTTTTACTCAATCCCTTTAGATCCACCATTGCTAGACGCATGTCTGCTGGCACTAAGGTCTTAGGTTTGAAATTGAATCAAAGCAGTTTGTTTTAATTTACCTGGGCTCCTAGGTCAACCCAGCTTAAAATACAATGAAACATTTGTGGATATAAAGACATCCAGTATGATGATGACTCCCATTAAGTGCTGACCGGTTTATAAAATTATGGGTCTTGCATGTTCAATGACATGAAAAGGGCCCTTTACTTATTCCATTCCCTGCTTTGTCTTTCAGTAACTGCTTCAGAAGAGGCATCTGCAGTGAGTTTTGCTGTTTGCTTCCTATGTGGTAATGTACTTGTAGTTTGCCTATAACAAGAGATAAAGACAATCCCTTTTATCTGCTAAACACAATGGAGTCTACGAGTACAAAGGTGAATCATATGACCAACTTGGCAGGGGATTTGGGTCAGGTTAGTTGGGAGATCCAGTTCACTGTTTTTTGCTGGATCTGCTGTAAAGAGCTGGTGGATTCCTGTGGGTAATGAGAACTTGGCAGCTTCATTATATCAACACACCTGGCTTATCTGGCAGTTTTCTCTTATGTTTCATAGTTTTCCCTTATGTTTCATATTAATGTTGCTATAAATATAGTGTAGTGGTACTACTCTTTTTGTTTAAATTGGAATTTTGCCACAGCATGGCCTTCTTCATATTCACCAGCTTTAAACTGGTAGACAGTCCTAGTTGTTCTAGACTTAGTCTTGTTTCAGGACTTGAAGTGGTGTGTGCACATCCATTTTACATATTTATCCTATTTGTGTGCAAACTACTGGCTCCTTGCCTCTCAGGCAGATGCACTCAGACTTCGAAGGAAATGTCAGTCCTATCTTCATTAGTCAGGCTCCCAGCTAGGAACCTGTTTTCAGGATGACTGCCGAGAGATGCAAACAGATCTTGACCAGTAAGAGCTCTCTGGTCCTGGGGCAGCACCACAAGTGGTTCAGCACTTCTGCATCCCAGAGTCAAAGGTATTAACATGCACAGTTCACAGCACTGGGCCTCTAGACATTTATATTTAAACAATGCAGACACAAACAATATACTGCACAATTTATTGCCTGGCATATTTTGATGTATCTCGTCAGGTGCATATCTACAGAGTTAAATTAACATATAATGAAGCAATAAAATGAATCCTTTCCTTGCTGAAAGGCATAAACCACATTGTTGAGTTGCTGTATATCTTCTTCTTAAAGTCCATGCTATGTGGCATTGGTAGTCATGTCTATCCATAAACTTCTGTCTCGTATATTTTCAATCAACTCAGAAATTCAAAATAGTCACATGGTTACTACGGTAACTTCAAATTGATCACTCGATCTTTCTGTTTACATAACATAGGAGAGTCGAGTTTTACTGACCATTTTTAGCAAAATCTATTCAGTGTGTAGTGAATAATCTTGAAAGCACAGTCTTTATCAACTATGTGTCTAGAGTCAAGCAAATGATATCCTGTCGAAGAAATAGGATCTCTCTTCTTGATGCAGGATCTCCAACGTGCAAACATTGTTTTGAACACATTTTTGTGTGTTAAAAACCCTATTTTTGTGGACTCTACTGGACTGAAGGTATCTCAAAGAGAAGAACAAAACGCCAAGCATCTACAGTAGTAGCAACATCCTACAGCTGTAACATGAAAGCCCACTTGTTATCGCAGATTATAAGAAACCATCAAGAACTTTACCTTCTCGCTTGATTGTATAATGCAGCTAATTCCTCGCAGAACCAAGTCAAGTCCTTCTCGATACCTCACCTTGTAGTCTCGGAATTCAATAACACCTTTTTCAGGCCACTCTGGGCTGGGGCGCTTGTCTTCTATTACCCACTCAGCCTAATAATGATAACACATTCTGATTAATTAGAAAGCAAATAGATTACTCAACATGATGTATTTTTAAATATCAACTGAATAAGAATAAATAATAAATGTTCAAGAGTTTTCCTCCCTGGACAAACATTAAAACCCTTTTCTTGGAACAATCTACTCTAAATAAAGTTGTGACAATTGCATTATATACTGCCCTACCATAATCATTTTTAAGTTCCTTGTCAAATTCCTTTGTGAGTCACAATTTGTTTTATCTAGCATCTACACAAAAAAAAACAGATTTATCAATTCATGCGATGACATCTTTCTTACTTGTTCATTATGTCTAGTTTCAAAACATATTAAAAAACAGAATCAGTAGAGAAACAAGATTATTATGGCCTGGAGAGAATGAGGCACCTGGGTGTAACCAGAGGGTCTGACGAGTTCACTACACTCAGAGGAAAGGCAAGACGGACATATAACCAGATTGTGACCAGTACCATAAGTATTGAAACTCTGCGCTGGCTGCTGAAGATGTGGACAGAGCATGCATGGAAATGCCCCGAGTGTCCTGATGTCAGTTCTTCTCAACTCAACTCTTTCCATACATAATTCTAGTTTAACATATATATCATATCATGTAGCAAGTCCTTTGTAGAACATCGCTCTCATCATGGTCTGACTGAAATAAACTGGGTTTCCCACCTCCTGCCCTTTATATCCAAGGTGTCACTCATATCCAGTTTTCACCTTTGTGCTGGTTGGCCTCTGCACCTCTTTCCTGATACCATGCTTTCTGCTAATGCGTTTTTCCAATCAGCCATGGCACTTGATATGGCCAACATATTTCCATCTTAACACGTTTCATTTTTCTCTTTTCATAATGCGTCCAAAAACATGAAACCAAAAAAAAAAACATGCAAATGCCTTTTCCATATTTTTTTTCTAATAAGTTGCCTTAATGTTTAGCCTCTTTCAAAATATATAGAGCACTCATTTTGACTGTTTAAGAAAAAAACATTCTTCTACAAAACTACATCTCATTGGCCAAGTTGATGTGTGTATGGCTTATTTACTAACTGTCAAGAAATGACAGCCATATCCATGAAGTAATCTGGTAATTTGGTATGTACTGATGAGAGAGGCCAGGGGTGAGGCCAGAGAGAGACCAGGGGTGAGACCAGGGGTGAGGCCAGAGAGAGACCAGGGGTGAGGCCAGAGAGAGACCAGGGGTGAGGCCAGAGAGAGGCCAAGGGTGAGGCCAGGGTCAAGGCCAGAGAGAGGCCAAGGGTGAAGCCAGAGAGAGGCCAGGGTCAAGGCTAGAGACAGACCAGAGGTGAGGCCAGAGAGAGGCCAAGGGTGAGGCCAGAGAGAGACCAGGGTCAAGGCCAGAGAGAGGCCAAGGATGAGGCCAGAGAGAGGCCAGGGTCAAGGCCAGAGAGAGGCCAAGGGTGAAGCCAGAGACAGACCAGGGGTGAGGCCAGGGGTAAGGCCAGAGAGGACTGGGGTAAGGCCAGAGAGAGGCTAGAAGTAAGGATAGAGAGTGGCCAGGGGTAAGGCAAGAGAGGACTGGGGTAAGGCAAGAGAGGCTTGGCGTAAGGACAGAGAGAGGCCTGGGGTGAGGCCAGACTAGACTCTATAAACTGTATTCAAAATGAATTGCACAGGATAGAAGGGAATGGAGAAATGGACTGTTCGTTCTGGGTGACAGCTGAAGAACAAACTAAAATATGTTAAATAAATAATTAAATACATTACAAACTGGCATGCTTCTCAGAAGATAATTAGTTTGTAAGTTAATCTGCAATAACCTGCAGACACACACACACACAAATTGGCAAATGTGAAACATACCTCCCTGGGTGTCTCACTATACTCTTTGATTCTCTCCACAGATACAATGTTAGTTTCTAAATCACATGTCATTCTAACCATCCAGTTGAGCGTTTGGGTCACCTACAATGAGAAAGATGTTGATCATCATGCAACAGTTGGTAGACAGCATGTCTGCTTAGTACCTGTGGAAGGTAACCCAGGCAAGCTCATACAGTACATACAGATCTAACTATGATAAAGCACAATCAAACATCTTTGTCTCTAAACTAACTCAAACAATGCATGAAGTGTGAATCACTCTGTGAAATCATCCTTAAAACTTCTTGGCAGAGGATGAATAAGAAATCTGATTGTAATTCCATCTGCCCCTAACATTTTTTTCAATTTCAACTCTCCAGTTCAAACTTCCTGCTCTTCCATATTGGACCCATTCAGACACACAGGTCTTGGCTGCTTTTGTGCTAGTTTCTGCCAGGAGAACATTGGTCTAGTTTCATATCTGTTTTATTCTTTCCATGGAAATATGGATCTCACTTTCTCTCTGGTGTCTTGTAGTGAGCATTTCTGCTGCTACCTTGTCTGAAACTGCTCTTTTATCTGTTTGGAGAGCAACTATGGCTGAGTTGTCTCCAACAAGACTTTTTGTAACATTCCATACAAAAGAAGTCTTCAAAGAAGTAGAAAGTCTTTTAATCGTTAGATGAAATAATATGCACTGTTGCAAGAATAAGGAATTAAGTGTGAATCTGGTGGCAAAACAAAACAAACAAGCATGCAGACACGCACGCGATGCATGAGAGAAGTACAGTGTATATACAAATGTTCTACTGGAACAATCAACACCTGCATCTTAAGTTTTTGAGTCCAACACAAATGTTACTTTAACTTGCTACGTCATTCAGTTGTTACTTTACCTTGCTATATTATCCAGTTGTTACTTTATCTTTCTACATTATCCAGTTGTTACTTTAACTTGCTATATCATCCATTTGTTACTTTAACTTGCTATATCATACAGTAGTTAATTTAACTAACAGATGTTTAGGTACAAAGGAATTAAAATAATAACACTGATGCAAAACAGTTACAATAATAACTTGTGCAGAGATAATATAAACAAAAATCAATAAACGGATGATGCTCTGCTTGGTAGTGAAAATGTTAAAACATTTGCTGTGATAGGTACAGCATCTATGGGTATGGTATGATATTGCTTTTTAACCACATATGTATGTATGTATGGAAGTTGTACCCCACCAGGACATCACACAAAGCGATAAACACCTGGTGACACAAAGTGCCACCATGCAGATGAGGATCACCAGTGGAGAGGTCCCAAAAACCCTGTTCAGCCGCTAGGCCATATTTCAGGCCGGGCTATATTTGAGCCCCAGGCAAAAGTTAGGGTGGGGCTTCAAAATAACTAAAAATTGCATCCCACAAGCGGATGGCAAGAGGTATGGTAACCTTAACCACGTCACCCTGTGAGTGCCAAGATCTCTTATTATTGGGTTTTCTTCTAATTTAAGAGTTTTCTTTAGGCAGTGGTGTCTTCAGCTTTAGTACTGGTTGCAGATGTGCCAGGTATAATCATTTTACAAAAATGGCTATTTTGGGAATTTATGTCAAAACACATCACTTTATTCAATGTGGCCATCTGAAAAAAACATTTCTTTCATGGTCAAAGAGAGTGAAAGCAATGATTTCTTTGCTCCCTTTGTAGTTAGTGATTATTGCCCTTAATATTAAGCGTTTTTTATTTGGCTTGTGGTTAACTAAGGACTTTAAAAAAAAGTTATTTTAGGCTTCGGGCCATTTTGAGGCAATGGCTTGCCTGCTCAGTAGTCATAAGTTCAAACTCCCCGATTAAAAAAATTTTTTTTTAAACGAATAAGACTCCACAATTCTTCTCCTTTTTCTTCTCTTCCTTGAGTTTCTTAGGACAGAGTTTCCGATTATTTGTAAGATTGTGTTTCCTTGTAATGTATCTCTGATAAAAAGAACATTTATAAAGTTTCTAACTTTTAAGTCAGTAAGCACAGTTCACACAGTCTGTGAAAAATCAGCACAATCTAAATGTTACTCACATTCATCGCATAACTAATCGACAGACCCACAATTCCGGGACTGATCTCACGTCGACCAATCACCGCAAACAGGGAAGCAAAGAAGATGATCAGATTTCCAACAATCTCCAGGCGAATAGCCAACCATCTGCAGAATTATAGACAGACATCGAAAAACTTCAATACAAATGTACTTCCTGTCTTTCTCTCCCCTTTGTGGCAGTCATGGAACTTATGTGCCCCTCTAAAGCATCAACTGTGGAAACACCTCCATTAAAGAGGTCTTCACAGAAAGGCAAGTCTAAGAGTAGCAAACAAATTTAGGGGCCATTTTCACATCTGGATGAGACTCTGAGATATGGTACCAGATTTGTATTTTATAATACAGCTGCTAGTGTGTGGGGGGGGGGGGTGGGGTGGAGAGGGGGGGGGGGGGGGGTGGTCAATCTCAAAGCCAAAAGTCAATTATAAAAGTCCCCTCACTTTATTGTTATTCCAAAAACTCAAATAATTGTGTTGTCCTGATATGTGTAATGATTTTGTTTTTCCCCTGCAGTTTGTGAATTGTGGTTTTTAATCAACCATATCTCTTCCGTTTAAAATGCTTGTTCTCAGTTTATACTGCAGGACCATACGTTTAATATGCTTGTTCTCAGTTTATACTGCAGGACCATACGACAGTGTTGAAATACTTTACACATACATAAAACCTTTCAATATTCACTGATGTTCTGATCTTTGCATTAAGAAAGTATGGTCTTTTTCTTGATACACAGTATTTAAAGCATTTGTTTCTGTGGCATTTAAATTTAATAGTAGTGATGTTTTCTTTAAGGACTGCACAACTAATTCATAATTAAGTGGACAAATACTTCTGAGAAGAGCTATAGAGTAACAGAACAAAATATTCTTGCAGAGCTATAAAGTGTAGACCTTCACAGATTCAGAGGCATTATGTGTAGCATAAGACGGAAGGTGACCAGCTCTACTTCACAGATTCAGAAGCATTATGTGTAGCATAAGACGGGAGGTGACCAGCTCTACTTCATAGACAGAGGCATTATGTGTAGCATAAGACGGAAGGTGACCAGCTCTACTTCATAGACAGAAGTATTATGTGTAGCATAAGACGGGAGATGACCAGCTCTACTTCATAGACAGAAGCATTATGTGTAGCATAAGACGGAAGGTGACCAGCTCTACTTCATAGACAGAAGCATTATGTGTAGCATTAGACGGAAGGTGACCAGCTCTACTTCATAGACAGAAGCATTATGTGTAGCATAAGACGGGAGGTGACCAGCTCTACTTCATAGACAGAAGCATTATGTGTAGCATAAGACGGAAGGTGACCAGCTCTACTTCATAGACAGAAGATTTTCTAGAACCCATTTTTTGCAAGAGAATTCAATCTTTAAAGCTGTACTGATAAGGGGGAAAAACATTATCATTCTGTCCCAAAAAATATGACAGATAAAGAAACATTTAATTTTAAAATACCACACATTTTGTTACACATTTAAATTCAACAGTAGCAAAGTTATGTTTAATGATTTCAAACTTAATTTCATAATTAACTGGAGAAAATATTTTTGATGAAGATCATCATCATCATCATCATTAACTGTTTTGACTAATATGGAAGATCATGCTTCTCCACATTTTATGGTCTCTAACAGCATGTATCAATTCCATGGGCTCAAACTCTTCCATGCCATGAGTTAGGAAGCTTCTCTCTCTCTCTGATTCAGCTACATATCTCTTTCCATAAATATTTCAACTTGTCACAGCATGATTCACTTTTTCTCTTCTTGTAATGTGGCTTTCTGATGTTTTTCCTCTTACTATTATTAGCATTTATTGGGTGTAAACTTTGATAAAAAGCTGGTTGTTTGTCCACTTCTGGGCATCCATTTTACAGATCTGGCTTATCTATATATCTATATGTTGGTTCCTTGCCTCTCCGGCAGATGCACTTTGACTTCAAAGGAGACACCCCTAATTAGTCAACAATTTGTCAGGGGACAGGGGATCTATTCTTATTTTCCCTTCCACAATGGGGCCCAAGAACCCCACAGATGGATAATGTTTTTGACAAATTGTCTTTGTGTTTCATGTTTCAAACTATTCAGATTTATCATTGTTTTCTTTTTTAACTTTGCAACGAATGTTAAGCATTGTGCTGTAAAATTTTTTCACTGAACTTTTCCAGAGAGTTATTAAGCTAGTTTCTGGATAGCAAAAAGACACCTTTAAAAATACATTTTATTGGAGTTTACATCCATATAAAGATAAACAAATTCAGTGACAGAAATACAAATAATTTGCAGAGAATCATCAAGGTACCTATTAGAAACAATGCTAGGGTAATAGCATATCTGGTTGAGGTCCACTTTGGCCTGGGAATCATGGATGAAACGGGCTTCTTGGCCAGAAGCTCTAATGGTCACTGCTCCGGTTATGGTCTCCCCAAAGTGGGAATAAATAGGTGACCGGCTGACAGACTCCAAACGTTTCAGCTGACGAGATGTGGCCACATAAAACCTCTGAGGGGAAAAGCAATCAAACAACAGTTGATTACTCTTTTATGTACATTACAACTCATCCCAGAAACAGTCTTAAACTTAACAAAGAATAATCTGTAATCATTTACTTTATATAACCATGTAAATAACTGTCTACAGAGGTGGTGAAATACTCTTAAGGGTTTTTTAGTAACAAAGAGTAATGAAGATGCCTTGAAAGAAACTGACAAGAAGAGAATGGATTGCCCACATCAGAAGCAGAAAATAAACATTCTGTTTTTTATTTTAGGATCATGTCATGAGAAACCTGGAGTTCATCACAAGTCTGAAAGGGAAAAGAAGTAGATGGAGACCAAGAAGAAAGATGCCGGACAGTCTGACATCATGGCATGAGAATCACCTGTGTCAGGGTGACTAAAAGTGCACGAGAGAGAAGGTTGTAGATAGACATGACTACCCATGCCACATGGCATGGACTATAAAAAGTGATCAACACACTAAAATATGACTTCGATATATTTATGATGTAAGTATGTCAAAGTAATTTTGTTTCCCTCCAAAACTATGACTAGTGATACAGTAAAAGTAGCAGGAGAGGACCATTTTCATGTCAGTGAGGCATGGGGCATGTAGCACTAGACCAGTATTGTTACAGACCAACTAGCACTTGATGGGTGATGTGGTCAGCGTCATACTAACTCCTTTATTTCCCAGGACATTACCTGGTACCCATTTGTGGCTGGGTTGTCCTGGAAATCAATTTGAAAAACATCTGTCTCAATGCAAATTTGAATCCTAAACCTTCGGCCTGGCAAGCAAGTATTTAGCCAGTCTACAAAATGCTGGAACTGGTGATAAAAAAAGACTAATAACTTAAAATTGTTGCTACTAATTATATTTTTTTAAACTTTAACAAATTGTAATTAATATGGTCTTAACATTATCATACACCAGTTAAACATTTAATTTTCTATATGGAATCCACCGTGATTAACTCTTTCAGTCCCAAGTCCTGCATAAAGAATGTCTTTTCTTGCAGTGAATCCTAAACATCAGTTGATGTGTAAATTTAGTGAGAGAATTCTAAAGAAATCTGCCTTCTCCCATGGTTAACTTCTTTTTAAAATTAACTGCATCATGACTATTTTACAATAAATATTGCCAGCCTTTTGGCATCTGCTGCAGAATATTCTAGGACTGAAAGAGTCAAAAGGTGCAGAAAAGTAATTAATGAAACATCAAGTAATTATAGTGTCTGAATAAAAATTATACACTGAATAAACACAACAGAGTAACCACAGAAACACAATATTCATGCAAGAGCAGGCACAAGAAAATATTATTCCATGCAAATCCCTTTCACAAACCACAAATAATAATTTCATAAGCACACTCCTAGTGCCCACTAGTAGCCACAAGTGCCTGCCAATTGACACCATTTTATTCTTTTAAACTTGATCATTAAAAACACAAATTTGAAACTGATCCCTCAACAAAGGAGTGGGCGCTTTGATGACTTGTCTGACCCTGTTTCTTTGTGTCGTGCAATCACACTTGGGTTTTCATCTCATTTTTTTTCTTTTTCTGCATTCACCCTTAAAAATGTGGCTGACACATTGTGTTGAGGTTTACAGCTAGGCTGCAAAATCTGAGTCTTTTTACCCAACACCTCTGATTAAGGCAAACCCATAATTAGTCGCCTTGTTACGACATGTCTGTTTAAGGTGGGGGGAGGTGTGGTGGCACTGGGTTGATTATTTAATGAGGCACAGGAACCAAGGGGGGTGGGGTGGGGTGGGGGGGGGGGGGAATACCATTATATGAAAACAAAGTGTGTCTTTAATACAATTTTATGTATACACCTGTGCAGAAAAGATCTCTAACTATTCTGGGAACAATCACTTTACATTATTTTGGAAGACTCTATCATGGACCAGATTTTGCTATTGGTGCAAACAATAACGCAATTTTGTTTTAAGAATATAATTTCTTTCATGCCATGTTGGATATGGATAGATGGTAAAGGACCCTCTTTCTTGCCCGTAGACATAGAGGGTATGTGGTGCAATACCTATATAGTGTAACAGTTTTTTTTTTTTAAATAGTTATTATCTATAGTTTGCCTAACATTTATTTTTTTCTAGGTCGCCTAACATTTATTACTTTCCAGGTTCACTAACATTTATTATTTCTGAGGCTGCCTGACAGTTATTTTTTTCTTCTTTAAAATCAATCACCTTCAGTTATATTCAACCACACTCAACTTTACAAACTAAAATTAAAAACAAACTGCTACCAATGTTACACAATTAAAATGGTAGTGTGATCTCATGTGAGTAATAGCAGACATATTTTAATTATCAGAAATAATTATCAACAAGACGCATGCATTATGATGTACAATGCAAAAACTACAGGCACCATTCAGGCATATTCAGATGTAAAATGTTTATCAAAAGCTGCTCGAACTTCAAATATGATAATATAAGGACAACGAGTAGCAAGTAGCTCCAATGGCAAGGTTAAGAGCAGAAGAAACAGAAGAAAAATGTTGATCCAACTCCCCCCCCCCCCCTCCCTTTTTGTTTTTTTGTTAGTTCAACCAGTGACTGTTTTTAAGATGCTCTATATGGGACATAAAGAAATGACTTCCTCAATTTGGTATGTGAACCTAGCACAACAACATCCCTGGCATATACTTCCTTATACAAAACTAGTTCTCAAAAGCCCTGTTTAATATGATACAAATTACCAATACTTGTATAAATGAGATGAAATGGCTAGATGCTGAATTAAAATGATTACAGTAAAACCTCGTTAACATGAACTCACTTACAATAAACACTTCGTAAACATGAACACAATTTTGATCCCAACAGGGATGAATTTTTCATAATACTGTTAAATACATCAAAAAATACAAACTCCTGCTTTTCATCTCTTTGGAATCTGTGCTAATATTAGAGGTTTTACCATAAAAATTATGATAAAATGGCTAGGAGGTGAGATAAAGGTTAAAGGTTAAAGTCTAGAGGATCAGCTTCATTGCACGGGGTTTTATTCCATTTGGCTCAATCTCTCTCCGCAGAATGGCTGGCCACCTGCTGAGAGCGCCACACACAGCATGAACACCATAGCTCCGGCAACAATCCCCAGCAAATCTCTGTAAAAATAGCACTCATGAACTGAACGGTGCAGCCGTGAAACAAACCCATGATCTTCAAAATGCCACCACGGCAGGTGAGATAATAATAATAAACTCTCAGTCAAATCGCAGGCAGAGTAAAAACACAGTGCCACATCAGGCAACTGATGCTAGACACCAAGGGCGAGGTAAGTTTTGACAAAATCAGCCCTGATTTGAACCATTGATCACTGGGCTGGTAGGCAAGCAATTATGCTTCAACAGCTCACTTAATAACTAGAGGTTGTGATAAAATAGATATATATTGAAAAAAAGTGGTTCAAAGGTTACAAAAATTACTAGACTTTGAGACAAATTACTAGATATTATGATGAGAAAAATGGCTAGACGTTAAAATAAATATTAAATAAAATATGCAGTTATAGCTAATGAGTAAACTTGTAATATTATAAACTTCAAATAAAATTAACACCAACACTCATTTTATCATGCAAATAATAATTTTACAAACACAAGAGTGCAAACTTCTAGAAATCTATAACTGAATTCAACACAACAAAATACTGCATCCATCAAAAGGCAAAATATACCAAGAGTCAAGCATTAAAATAAAATATTCATCAAAGAAACAAGACACTCCATGAAAAGTTAATTGTTCACTAACTAACTATTTCTTCCTCTGACCATTTTTAGCCCAACTTTATCAGTTTAAAATAATATATGTCCAAGATAGGTTACCCCAAAAAAAAAAAAAAACTACAAAGATGAATCAAGCGTGCATCAGGCACGGATTGGAAAACAAAAACTAGATATAACCATGAATAGGATTTCCACAAACATTGGCCATCTTTCCCATCTCGTGTGGGTTCCAGGGACCCATTGTGGGTAAAACAAGAACAGACCCACTGCCTCTCCAGCATGTCCGCTAATTGGACAGCATCCTTATTGCACTGTATGAAAGGCAAGGACCCACAAGTCTACATACATAGATCTGTAAAACAGATATGCACGCAACACTCAGCTTTTAGAACAATGCCTAAGTCCAGAGGTGGACGAACCCCCAGAACTTTCCGGCAGAGTTTACGGCCAATAAAAATGAAGAAGAAAAAAGAAGAAGAAGAGACCAAGTTACCCTTTTCTGCATAAGCACTGTATACTGGAGAACTAAACAAACATCCATATAAATTGTGTATCAGCCAATCAGCTTTCTGCTTGTGTTTCCATGCTGAATAGACTATAATATGTCTTGCAAGACTGTCCTCTCCTGGATGAACTGCAAAGTAACATACCCAGAGAAATACTAACCTGCAAAGTCCATGGCAACTGCATTAGCCATATGGCCTAAATCCTCAGACTGAAGACCCACCTGTCCTATACCGCTTGAAAAAGCGGTAATACATTTAGAAAGTCTGCGGCTTAGGTGTTGCAAACGAGCTTCATAATGCCGGGGTGCCGGGTTCGATACCAGCTCCAGGCCTTGTGCCTTGCATTGGTTCCACAGTGGTATCGACAGGCTGATCGTCCAGAAAGCAATGACAAACTACTGGATGTAAATTTGCCTAGAAAAATTACAAGAGCCAAACAACTCTGGGGTTGGTTCTGCAATGTCCTAAAAAAGATACGCAACTAACTACGCAACAGATAGAAAAAGACACCTCCTATTTCACAAAGAGGGACTTGTTTCTTCGGGCAAAAAAAGCGCATTGAGCAGATACTAGCCTTATCCTAAGACAAGAAAATGCAACATGAAAACTCAATATTATGGCAGGGAAAGCCAGGTCTTTACCCTTGGCTGGCAACTGGTCTAGGAGAGAAGCTCCAGCAGGTGCTGCAGCAGGCTTTCTTCCAAAGGTTGCATTGTTACCTTTCTTTTGGAGTAAACAAGGCAGGTAAAGAGGGAGATCATACTGCAAGGCATCATATGGTCTCTGCAATATTGTAGAGGTGTTACACTATGGAGAGAAGGAACTTCATCTCTAGTCTAAACTGGCTGTCACTCCCATGCATCCCTGTACATAATATAATATAGGACGAGAAGGTGATTCAGAATACGGCACTAAATCTGCAACACTTAAGAGACTGCAGGAGCTTCAGGTCATAGGAGGTGTCACCAACCATGAACCCGATACAGGAAGCCAAAGAAGAATAGTAAACCAACACAGAACTGGTGTTATCAGTTGCCACTTGTTGAGGGATATACTGAAGATGGGATCCGAGCAATTATGGACTTGCTTGATGTGCAATGAGGATAATCTGTTGATTAACTAACTAACTAATACTGAGAGAACCACATTACCATGTGGAAAGACTGAAAGACACCAATGAATGAGATTTCAGTAGGACTTACATCCTCAATCTGGTGTCAAAATTTAGGCAGTAGTCCTGCAACTACTGAATGATTGTTTTGGAAACATAGATAATGGATATATTTTCACTATATTTTAAGATGGAATAAACATTTGATTCGAGAACTAAGACAGATGTGATGACATAGCTTTAAACTTATTTTGTGTTTCTCAACACTGGGCTGCAGATAACCATTAGAAAATCAACCTAAACAGCAGCAAGAAAACTGACGACTTCTCATTTTTTGTAGTCAATTATTAAAAAGTTGTACTAAAAATATTTGGTCTTGTTTCAAAGAAATGCTCATATATATCAGTTTTAAAACAATCAGCATGCATAAAACTAAAACACGCCCACAAAAACATCACAAGCATGATAGTATGAAGCTGCGTTTTATAGACTAGCTGGCTAAAACATGCACACTGTTTCAGTATAACACATTCTCAAAAAATCCAGAGTATGACAAATAAGCCCTTTCTTACTCACAGATTAAATCTTCGGCTTTATTAACCATAAACTGTGGCACATAAGTCGTTTTCTTGCCTAAAAATCTTCCTAAAACTAAGGGGCAACTTATATGGCAGGCATTAATGTATAAGGTAGGTATAGGCCTAACTCTGATTTGTGAGCTAAAATCCTGAGATTGTGTATGCCTCAGTTTGTGGTACTTTATAATCAAGGATCTGAATACTTTACTTTAGCATAACAAATTCAAAGTTATAAAGATCAAAAATATAAATCTTCTTTATATATTCTCCAATTGAAAATAAGCTGCTTTAATTATCAGCAAAAGCCAACAAATTCATCAGAAGTTATATTACTTTTGTAATTAAAATTCCTTTCTTTTTAAAAAAAATGCCCACAATGACTGCAGACTACATTCATAAACGTAAGAAAGGGACTTAACGGTGATTACCAAAGGGAATAAATAAACAAACAAGCAACCAAATAAACTCAAATTGACATCCCAAAACAAAACCAATTCATTTGGTTTGAAATACCTGTACGAAATAGTAGAAAATGAGCAGGGGCGCAATGACCGCAAGAAACATCGGTGTGGAAAAGGAGATGACCAAAATTGTTGAGATTGTTTGAAAGAGACAATTCAAGAACATCCCCACAATCATGGGTATCATGGTGTCCAGAGTGTCCAAGTCTTTGCTGAAACGGTTGACTATGCGTCCGATTGGGGTGGTGTCAAAGAAGCTCATTGGACTCTGGATCACATTGGCCAAAACTCCAACATGGAGAACACGTGAGGCGGTTACAGCTCCGAGGAGCCGCATTAATGAGTTTATGAACACACACATACCTACAAATAAAAAGATGGAGTTTGGAGGAATAGCAATGTTTTAAAATAAACAGTAAAAAAAAAAAAAGGACCCTTTTCCACACTTTTAGGCGTATAGAGCTTAGGACTACACCTTATTTTATAGACCAATTGGCACAAGATGGGTGATGTGGTTGGTCAGCATCACGCTGGCCGCCTTTACTTCCCAGGAGTGCACCCGGTAGCAACACAAGGCTGGGTCAACCTGGGAGCCAAGGTCATTTCTGACACAAGTCCGGCTCCGCCTGGGAACGACTAAACGACCTTCCGTCTAGCCGCTCCGCCACTACGACTTCCCTAAACAGTTAGTGGTGAAGATAAAAGGTAAAGGTCATGTTTCCCCCTCTTCGGGCATATTGGGTATATAATACTATCCCCATATTTGTACTGACCCTTAATATGGTCTGTATCACACCAACCACATTTACCTCCCAATGATATTTCCTGATATGCATATTTAGCTGATTAAAGATAGAAGCAATCGTCAATTTCGAAAATATGTTTTGGTTGGGAACCTGAAATTACAACCGCTTGTGCGAGAGGCAAAAATGCACTGCCACTGCCCTATGGCCGTTAGGGTATCTTTATGTGAACATTTAAATAACAAAATTTCAACACAGGCAAGAAAACAACACAAAAATACCAAACTAGAGATTCTTAGTCTCAACTCACAGACCCAGGATAATAAAATTTACAAGTGATGTGAAAATCTATTCAGATGGCTCTGTTTGACAAGTGGAAGAAGTGCATGGGAGCCCATAGTTAAAGTGAATGAACATTGCTTAGTGCATCAAAACTGGCATATGATAAAACATCTAGTTTGAGAATGACGGTGGTCACTGCAGCCTTCCGCTGGCTTGAGAACAAGCTGAACACAGGTCATGATTGTAACTGACATATGGAGAAAGGGGTAAACAGGTATGCTGTAGGCAAAATGGCAAGCATCAGTTCAGGCGTTCTGGGTAGTTAGTGTCCTTTGGATATTTTCATCGGCGTGTTGGGAAATGAACAGACAGACAGACTGGCTGGTTCTGCACCACTCGGTGGTGAACTGATGCATGACAAACTAGATATTCTAACAGCCTTTTGGGAGCAACATGGATATACAGTCAGACTGTTACTGGTACCATCTAAACTGGAACTCTGCACTGGCTGCTGAAGACAGAGCACTTTTGGGAATGTCTCCAGTGCTATGATGTCTGTTCTTAACTCATAACAGCAGATTTTTTTTTAAATGAATAGTGCAAAAGCTACCAATCTTATGACTGCCATATTTTAAAAAAATACTGCTCACGGATATCTGCAGTGTGTTGTGTAAGTTTCATAAAGTTAAAAAAAGGCTCTTTTCACACTGCTGGCAAATAAGGAATTTTGTCCTACGCCCATGCTTTTATTAAACAACTTCTAGTCAATATCAAGCTGGCATCCTTTACTTCCTAGAAAATCTTTGGGTACCCATTTTAGTAGCCTGGGTCAACCTGTAAAGCTAAATCAATTATACAAAGACTGACCATAATGTGGATTTGCACACAAGACCTTCGGCCTGCCAAGCAAGTGTTTAGCCACCGTTATATTAAAGGCTCCCTTGAATATTTAACTAGCAAGCTGAATAGAGGGAATTAAATGGTTCGATAGAATCACTAATGCTGAGCTTTGGGAGAGAACTATACAAGTTCCAGTGGGCAGAGAGGTGAGGAAAATATACTGGCATTAGATATGACATATGTTGAGAAAGCCTGAGAACAATATAACTAGAATGTCTCTGCAGTGAAACTCACAGGGGCACAGAAATAGAGGAAGCCCAAAAAACACACAGATAAGAGCTAGAGAGTGAAGTTAAAAAGAGGCAAGGGCATGGGGAGAGCTGCATGCAATAGCAAAGGATAGAACAACTTCGTATGAGTTGGCTGATGGCCTGGTATAGTTTGCCGCATCTCATCGGATGCATACTACAGTCATAGCTTCCTTAACAACAGCATCCAGTGGGCCAATGCATTAAGATGGCCCTGGCTACAGTAACAACTGAATATAATGAAGCAAATTAATGAATTCTTTCAAATAAAATAATCCCTGTGTGCATTCCGGGATCCCATTTTGGGGTTAAAAAGAATATACCCACTGCCCTCAGCAAGCAAGTTGTAAAAGTCAACTAATTAGAGGTGTTTCCTTTGAAGTCGGAGTGCATCTCCCTGAGCGCAAGGAACCAACACTTATTAACATCAAACTCTTACAAATAAGCCAGATCTTTAAAATGTGCACGCAGAACTCATGATCTGGAACAAGGCAAAATGGCAGAAGTGGACAAACAACCAGAACTGTCCACAGGAGTTTACAGCTGGTGAATGAGAAAAAGAAATTTAAAAAAAAAACATACTCAAGAGTAACCACCTATTTTACCAAGACAAACACAAAGTACAGTAAAATATAAAGTTCCCTTTTTATGCCTTTAGGCGCAGAGGGCATATGGGAAATGCACCCGTATTTTTAAAGACCAATCGGCACTAGGTGGGTAATGTGGCCAGCATTATGCTGGTTGTCTTTACTTCCCCAGGACATACATCCTGGTACCTATTTAAATCTGGGTCGACCTGCGACGCCTCATACCATGATAAAAATCCACACAGCTATCAGTGGGTTCCAATCACAGTACACTGGAATTACAAGTCAGACTCGCAACGCCTAAGCCACAGACGCCCGCTTACAGTATAATATGCTAGGCAATAAATTGTGTAGTTTTTTGTCTGATTCTTCTTTGTTCAAATTTTTAGTGGGGAAACATTCCTTTGAATTTAATAAACAGCATTTGAGGATTCTATGTGCCTTCATATCTTCTTTTCCTTAAATATAACACTACACCAAAACATACCACTTAAGCCACTGTAACATTTAAGTCCCTGTGATCCAAAATGAGATGATAAAGATAAATGAGTTCTACCATGTTTTGCCTCATCCACTCTCTCTCTCTCTGTGCGTGCATGTGTGAGCATGCATATGCATGTAGAGCAGCTGGCTGTCTGCCAAGAGTGCTGAAGATCTGAACTGTTTGTAACTCATTGCAAGACTGCATGGTACAGTCAGCAAGAAAATCCTTATTGTTTCCTTTGAAGAAAATAGAACATTACAGTCCAGAGAAAATGAAAGGGAGTGACTAAGGAATCTAGCTACATTCAGAGGAAAGGTTAGATGGACATAAACTCAAACTTCTACTGGTACCATCAGCACTGGATTTCTTCACTGGCTGCTGAAGATGGGGCTGTAGCCTTTATGAGAATGTCCAGAGTCCTGTGATGTCAGTACTTAACTCAACTTAACTTTTTTCTAAGTCTGCAATTTTATATCCTTCTGTCACACTGTTCTCTTTAAAGCAAATAATAATGATGAAGGCCTTGAACATTTTGTATTTTGAAAATAGAGCTGTGTGGTTCCTAACATAAGGTGACTCTTGTTAAAAAAAAAAAAAAAATTAAATGGGAAACTACTTTAAATGGTAGAAAGTGATTAAAAAACAATATATTTATTAGAAAGCAATGAAGCTTATATGTAAACCAGTGCAAGATATATAGTTACGAGTGGTTAATATAGTGAATGTTAAGAAAATATTAATGGCTTCAAAACAAGATTTTGCATAGTTGGCAAAAGAGTGTCCTATTAGAGTAACTTTGTATGCTCTTTCTAATGTGCTGTGTATGTTTGTCTTCATTTCTCTAAGATTGTTCTAGAGGTATAATTCCACTTTTTGTTCCCTTTGCTCTGAGTTCCATTATATTTCTTTAATGTGGCTCTCTTTGGTAAATGGCACCAGGGCTTTACTTTATTTTATATCAATTAAAAAAATCTCAAGCATTTAATCACAGGCACCTAACTAACATTTCAATGATGATTAAGCAATATTTTAAGCATTTTTATGTATACACTTAAAAAAAAAATTGTTTGTATTACATTACAAACCTCTAAGAATGGGGGTATCAACCCCCCCCCCCCCCCCCCCCACCCAACCCACACCACATGCACTTGCGCGCACACACACACAGTAACACATTAAAAAAACGTTATAGTAGTTATCTGACTTGCATGTACAAAAACTCTTGCATCCACACAACTGTTAAGAATGTTGGTAAGACATCTAACTTGCATGTACAAAAACTCTTGCATCCACACAACTGTTCAGAATGTTAATAAGTTATCTGACCTGCATATACAAAACTCTTGCATCCACACAACTGTTAAGAATGTTGGTAAGTCATCTAACTTGCATGTACAAAAACTCTTGCATCCACACAACTGTTAAGAATGTTGGTAAGTCATCCAACTTGCATGTATAAAAACTCTTGCATCCACACAACTGTTAAGAATGTTAATAAGTTATCTGACTTGCATTTACAAAACTCTTGCATCCATACAACTGTTAAGAATGTTAATAAGTTATCTGACTTGCATGTACACAACTCTTGCATCCACACAACTGTTAGGAATGTTAATAAGTTATCTGACTTGCATGTACAAAACTCTTGCATCCACACAACTGGTCAGAATGTTAGTAAGTCATCTAACTTGCATGTTTAAAAACTCTTGCATCCACACAACTGTTAGGAATGTTAATAAGTTATCTGACTTGCAAGTACAAAACTCTTGCATCCACACAACTGTTAAGAATGTTAATAAGTTATCTGACTTGCATGTACAAAAACTCTTGCATCCACACAACTGTTAAGAATGTTAATAAGTTATCTGACTTGCATGTACAAAACTCTTGCATCCACACAACTGTTAAGAACGTTAGTAAGTCATCTAACTTGCATGTACAAAACTCTTGCATCCACACAACTGTTAAGAATGTTAATAAGTTATCTGACTTGCATGTACAAAAACTCTTGCATCCACACAACTGTTAAGAATGTTGGTAAGTCATCTAACTTGCATGTACAAAAACTCTTGCATCCATACAACTGTTAAGAATGTTGGTAAGTCATCTAACTTGCATG